TCCTGTATCTTCATCTGCTGATTACCCATTATGTGTAAAAATGCATCCCATTCCACACTCAGATCTCTGCACTTTATGCACTTCAACGTACATATATTATACTACAAAGCTCATTTAAAAAAATATACCTCTCTGCTTCATATACCACATCACTGGTTGGCTGCATCTCTGTTCTAGTCTTCACGCTGGGACCCAGGTGCATGGTCTAGTCTGCACCTGGAATGTGGTTGACGCTGGGCTAGAGGGAAGGCACGTGAGCCACACGCTGCCTCTTGCAGTGTCTGCCTTGGGACGCACACCACCTCTACCTACCTGTCCTTGACCAAGCCCAAGCTCAACAGCAATAAGACGTACAATCCTCCTATGAGGCAGGAAGTCGGAAGTTCTGGTAAGGAGACTGCCACTCCATCAGGGATGCTCAGCTAACAGCTGCTGCTGTATCAGGGCAGAAAGGAAGGTTCGGATGTGCAAGGATGCATGTGTGTTTTGAGAACAAAAAAATTCAGAAACACTCCAAAGAAATTAGAAGCGAATCATAATTACAAACTCAGGAACAGGTATACAACAAACAGATGAGCAATGAAACTGGTGAAAAAGGAGGTTGGGCTAAAACATTTTTTTGATAACATGACTCAAGTTTAATGTCACCATTAAAAGACCCTTGACATAGAGGTTTATGTGAGAAGTTTGGAATTCTGAACTTTATTCTATATGTTCCAACAAAACCCAGGAGACAGTGTGTGTGTGTGTGTGTGTGTGTGTGTGTGTGTGTCTGTGTGTGTGTGTGAAGGACAGAAATCTGACATTCTGCTGAGTTTCTTAATGTTTAAGGAGGAAGGATGCCCTAAGTATGTGATACTGAGAGAAATAGAAATCAGAGTTATCAGAGTTATTAGCACAGAAATAAGATGTTAAATGATACATTTAACAGAGGGGAAATTTTTAATCAAGCAAATAGAGAGAAAAGAAAAAAAATTAAAAAACAATAGAAAAATGAACTAAATGGCAAATAATACTGCAACAGTGATCACAATTAACAAGTTAAACTCACTTATGGACTTTGCAAATTTCACTTAAAAAGTAATCCTAGCCCAAGATGGTCTGGCTCAGTGGATAGAACATCGGCCTGCAGACTGAAGGGTCCTGGGTTTGATTCCAGTCAAGGGCACGTACCTTAGTTGCAGGCTCCTCCTGAGCCTGGGCCCTGGTTGGGGCTCGTGCAGGAGGCAATCAATCAATGTTTTTCTCACACATCGATATTTCTATCTCTCCCTCTCTTCCACTCTCTCTAAAAATCAATGGAAAAATAGCCTCGGGTGAGGATTAAAAAAATAATAATAGTAGTAATAATAATCCTAGCCCTGGCCAGGTAGCTCAGCTGGTTAGAGCGTCATCCCGATATACCAACATTGTGGGTGTATCACAATGATTTGGTATATGGAGATGTAACTCAATTGATTTCAGAGAGGAAGGGAGAGAGGGAGAGAGAGATAGAAACATTAATGATGAGAGAGAATCATCAATTGGATGCCTCCTGCATGATCGAGACCACAACCCGGGCACATGCCCCTGACCAGAATCGAACCAGGACCCTTCAGTCCAAAGGCCAATGCTCTATCCATTGAGCCAAACCAGCCAAGGCAATAGAAACACATTTTAAAAATAAAAAGTAATCCTAGCAACATGTTTATAAGCCCCTCACCTAAAGCGACAGAGAAAAAGGATTTAAATTCAAAACAAAGCACCAAACAGGATACTAGAGCTATTTTAATGCTGATGAGGAAATACCTTTCATGAGCTCTTTCAAACTAAGCAACATAACTGAAACTCACAAAAGAAGCTGTAAAGAGAAACTGGAAAACATGACAATAGCAGAATCATTTACTTTTCTTAGAAATGAACACATAGTATAGCCACCCCCCCCCCCCCAAAAAAAAAGAGGGTGGAGGGAAAGGGCAAAAAACAATAAATTTGAATAATTTACAAGCCTAATTTCACAGATTACATAAAACTTTATATCAAACCAAAAACATGCGTTATTTTTCAGAACACTGACCATGATCCTCTTCCCCAAATCATTCTGAAATTCATCTGGGAAAATGTGCAGAAGAACCCAGCACTTCCTTAGTGAGGTAAGAACACGCAGAAAGAAGGCTGTTAGCATGTGTGCACCTGCGGTCAGAGGTTGTCTCAAGCCACCTGTGGCTACTGAGCACCTGAGCTGTGGTTAGTCTGGATAGACAGCCTGGAAGTGTGACATATATACACCAATTTCAAAGACTGAGTAAAATAACTCATTAATATTTTTAATGTCCATTACATATTGAAATGATAGTGGGTCAAACTATTATTAATTACAGCTGTTTCTTTTTCCTTTGTATTGTGGCTCCTAGAAACATTTAGGTTACACTGGAGGCTCCAGTATTTCCATTGGACAGTGCTGGTCTAGAAACACCCAGATTCTCCATCTTCCTGCCCAAATGTCTCTACGACATTTCTCAATGGAGACTATGCTTTCCTCTGAGATCAGCATACGTTAGAAGGCTCACCCTGTTGGCCTAGATGCTACAGGGGTTTCCTGATGTGGTTTACATTACTAAAATTTTAATTTTTCATATAAGCAAAATAACTAATCTCTCCTGTTGTAATGTTTTGTTTATTTCATTCTAAGTTTCAAAACTTTCCCATGAGCCAATCATTTACCCACAGTGGCATTTATCTGGGGAGACGGGACAAGGCACCGTCCTCCTCCTATGGCTTCAGAGGAGCCATGGCTGGGAGAACCCGGCAGGGGCAAAGCCTGGCTTTGCGTCTCAGCTCAGTTCCTTCCAAAACCCACTTTCTTCCGTCACTACCTTCCACCTCCAGGGTCAGTCCCTGCCTCACTGGGTTGTCGTGAGGACCAAGTCTACCTATAAAACAGCAGTGTCCGGAACAGTGACCCTGCTCCATAACTCTGGCTGCTAAATGTTTTATCCTAATCCTGTGATGGTTAGAAATACCACCACGTGGCATAACTGAGGCTGTATGGGACGTACCAGAACCCAGAACCCAGCCTCCCATATCTAGCAGGGCCCTGAGGACCAGAGGGGAGGTCACTAACACCAGTATCTGAAGTGAGAACAGGCTGGGAACTCGAGCCTCCTCCGCCCAGCATCCCACTTCCCTCCAGCACCCCAGGCCACCGACCTCTCTCCAGCAATGGCTTTTCCTGGGAGTTTTCAAACTCACACTTAAGCTGTCCCCTGGGTGGTGCACAGGTAATTAATTCAAAGAACAAGTCTAAAAAGTACATGCCAGGATGGTGGCGCTAGACATCTATAAATATGTTTCTCCGTAAAAGCGACAAGACTGTCCTAGCTGGTTTTGTTCAGTGGATAGAGTGTCGGCCAGCGGACCGAAGGGTCCTATGTTTGATTCCAGTCAAGGGCAGGTACCTCGGTTGCAGCTCCCAGTCCTGGTCGGGAGCATGCGGGAGGCAACCAATCAATGTGTCTCTCTCACATTGGTGTTTGTGTCTCTCCCTCTCTCTTCTACTCTCCAAAAATCAATGAAAAAAATATCCTCGGGTGAGGATTAAAAAAAAAAAAAAAGTGACAAGATTACTGGCAAAATGGTCAAAATCAACTTTTCCAGAACCCTAGAAAGGCTCACAACAATCGGAGAAGTGTTTTTTCAAAGAGTACATGCCTTCAGCAACCTCCAGCGTGTTTAATAAACCAACCCCAAAGGCTCAGCTGAAAGAACCTGAGACACGTGGGCAGCCCACCTCCTTTCCCCCACTGCTCTCCCCTCTCTCCACGGGGCCTTTATCCAGGGATGCCGACCCCATTGCTTGTCACCCAGGAGACATCCCAGAGGGAGCCCCTGGCTTTGGTCTCTGGTTCATCCACCTCCCCATCTTCCTCCCTGCACCAAAACTGTGTGGTTCCCTCCATTAAAACCCCTCGATGGCTCCCGAATATAAGTCCAAATCTGCACACCAGGCTTTGCAAGCTCTCCCCAAACTAACTTGAGGTCTTCCATATTCCCTCGCTGCTCCAGTGATGAGGGCTGCACAGAAAAGGCCAAGACCTGCTGTAACACGACTTGGCTGAATCACACCGATCACCGCTGGGACTGGGGCTACCGACAGCCTAGACTGCATGAGAGCTCGTGTGGCCCCTCTGCACAGCAGGCGCAGGTCCATGATTTCACTTCATGGGCACCATTCACCACCTCTTCCTACAGATGAGGGAAACTGAGGCTTTAACCATGCGTTAGCGAAGCTCTGTGGGAGAATTCTTTCAGTGTGAAGGACCCTGGGGCTATCTCAGCTCCCTAGAGACCCCCAGAGGCCTGAGCCTGCCTTTGAGGAGGGACTGGTAAGTCAAGATGTATCATCTGCTCTCGACATGTATGTATATTTTATATCATTCTTAGCACTATGTGGTAATAACTTAATAGACCTTTAAGAATGCATAACCAGCCCTGGCCGGTGTTTCTCAGTGGTTAAAGCATCAGCCTACACATAGAAGGATTGTGAGTATGATTCCCAGTCAAGGTCATACACCAGGGTTGCGGGTATGGACCCCCCGACCCCCACCCCCCCCACCCCCACCCCCCGTCAGGGCACATGCGGGAAGCAGTTGATATGTCTCTCTCACATCGGATCTCTCTCTCTCTCTCCTCCCTCCTTCTGCCCTCCCTTCCAATCTCTTTGAAAAGCAATGAAAAAAGTATCCTCTGGTGTGGTTTAACAAAAGAAGAAAAAAAAAGCATAACCAAAGAATTCTGGAAACCAGCGCTTTAAACTCAAGCTTGGCCGTTTTTGAGATACTCACTGGGGAAGCCAGAGGACGCTTGCTGCCACCTTGTGGGTCACGGAGGGGAAAAGGCCAGGTGGAAATTTCTGGCTAACCTGTCTTCAAAGAGCCATAGCTCTCCAGCCCCACCATGCTACAGCCACCCTCTTTACTCCCCAACCCTTTTACCATGGAACAAATGAACTCAAAGCTCTAGAGTATACAATTCAAGATTTATATAAGCTTAAGTTACTTATTTTAAAATTGCACAACGCGGGAGAACAGTTTAAAAAAGAATCAAACACACCATTGCAAGGTAATTCAATGAGCTGCTTTTTTTTTTAAACAAATTTGTACAGAAAAAAAAAAATCCCGGATCACAATCTATATCATACAGTCACCCTGTTCAATATGTGGGGCGCCACGGGAGCCCCAGTGGAGGAGCTGATGGGCAGCTGGACTGCGGAAGTGAAAACCTTGAGTTCCCTTTGTTCTCCAGTGTATCTTGTATAAAATATTACATTTTTAAACACGTATTTACAGTGTTTGCACAAATAGAAAACGGTTACAAATCACAACCAGGCTTGGCCAGGTAACAAACACTTCCCTTCTCCCACGGACCAAGGCCAGAGAGAGGTCTGATTGCTTTGTATTTACATATGCATTAAAAAGTCTGTCTTCTTAGACACCTAGGTGAAGTTTATAAAAACTGGTTAACATCATAAATTCATTTATGTCAGCTGTACAAATAATCAATACCAATTAGTCAGTTCATGTCCTGCTCCCTGAAGAAAGATTTTGAAGCAAAAGAAACCCTCTCAAACAAGCAACACATCCCTTGGCCTGTCTGCTCCCATCGGTTTGGCTTGGGGGTGAGGGGGAGTGGGAAGGAAGAAGAGAGGAATGGGCGGGAGGGGGAGAATGGGACAACTGGTTGAGACAGTTTTTCTTCCACTTTTTTTTTAACAGCTTAGAACCAGGTTAACCTGACTGGCTTGTTAAACACCATCCTATGGCTTTAAAAAGAACCCACAGCTCCTTCCTTGTCTCAGAGACAAAATACCTTTCTCAACATGACTGCAATATTTTAAAAAAACAAACAAAACAAAAAAACAGGACTTTCTGAGGAAGACAACATTTGTTATTCTGATGTAAAGTCTTTGCCTTGAGTGTCAAGCCCAATTCCAACAGTGCAAAAAAGACTCGAGCGGCTGTGGCAGGGGTCAGAGGCTTGCGTAGTAGCTGTCTACCCACTGAGCAAGTCCTCGCTCCACCAGCGACCGGTTTATCAACACCACCTAGAAGAGAAAGTCCCCTTGAAAGCTCTGCCCACGGCACCCAGGGGCCATGCCTCAAGCCAGCGCGATGCTCCCTCTTACAGGTCCAGGCGGCCACCGTGGCAACAGGTGCACTAGTAATGGCGGTGGGGGGGGTGACTCATTTTCTGGGCCAACAGGGGCATTTACTTCTGTATTCTACTGGCATGAGGACAGGCTTTCCAATGCATTGAGAAATCTAAGCTTTAATACTACGCGATGGAGGAGAGGAAAACGCAATGGACAGAAGGTCCAGCAAGGCCCACCGACATTTTGGGCCAAATAATTCTCTGTTGTGGGAGCTCTCCTGTGCACTGTAAAATGTTTGGCAGCATCCCTGCCCTTTACCCACTCCCAACTGTGTCAACCACAAAGGGCTCCAGACATCGCTAACTGCCCCTGGGAGACCCTGGTCTGTAGTTACATCCTCTGATTAGCTCCACGTCAATCATCACTGCTGGCCAGTAACGCAGGGAAACAGGACAGAACTTACTTCATCTCCTACCACGCTCCACAGTTGGATCAAAGGAATGCCAGTTGGACTGTAATTTGTCACCTGAAAACAAACAGAAAAACAAGTCTGTTTAGAAGTGACCTCGTGTGCCTCTCTGTGAAGACGGCTAGCCAGCCCAGGGCAGGAACCACAGGAAGGCAGGCACTAAAAGGTCAGCTCCCAAGAGGCCCAGATGCTGGATGAGTGAGGCCGGTGGTCCCCGCAGAAGCTGGGAGGTTCCTCAAACAGAGCCTGTGCAACCTGCCCCACTTCCCCCCCACCAGCCACACACCTGAGCCAGCAGTGCTGTGTTTCCAGTCATCTCGCTCACAGCTGCATCCGCCTCAGGAGAGAAGTGCTCATCGTCTTTAGGAGAAGGAAAAGCAGCATTTAGACTCTCACTGAGGCCAGGTGCTCTTGTCACCTACACACTTCCAGGTGTGTTCCAAGTAAAAGGCCTCAGATACTGCCACAAAGCCTGAGACCTTCACCTGAGAGAGCCACCGTTGTCAAGAATAGAGCCCAGGTCTCTACACACTCAGGGTCTCTGCTGTGTGCTATCCACCTACAGGGACCAGATGGACAGAAACTCTGCCTTCAATGGAAACATGATCACCACCGCTTATCTGGGGGCTGACCGGGCTAAGCATGTTGGATACGTTCTTCCACTGCATCAGTTAACACCCTACAAGATGGAAGGGGCTACCCTACTTTATAGGTGGGAACATGTAAGACAAAGGCAGAAGGTCAACCAGCTCTGAGAGTGGTGCAGGTGGAATTCAAACCCAGGCAGTGGCCACACAGCCCAATACGGGCAGTAACTATAGAACGGCAGGCAGGACACTGAGGCAGCTTTGTTCGTCAGATTATAGAAGTTACATGCAAGAACACACCCAAGGCAAGAGATGGTAAGGAAGTGAGAGGCAGGTTTATGAAAGTCTGAGAATATCTTATGGAGGAGGGAACCTTTCAGCTGAGCCTGGATAAGTCCTGAGACAGATAGAAATGGAGAAGAAGGCTGGGCATGGTCAAAGTAATAAAGAGAAACAAAAATGAAGACCCTGCCTAGCATTCTAGCCAACAAGACTACTACAGTCAGACTATAGTGCTTCTAAAGCATTTCATTACTTTAGACAAGAACATGATTAGATGGGGCAAACCTGGGAGGGAGGAGCATGAAATCAAGGGACTAGTAAATATAAAACTCCTGGTCATAAGTAGCTGCTACCTGACCAGTGTCCACATCCCAGCTTCTAGGTTCATGTAATTTCCTTGGCCACTCTGAAAAACAGGTAAAGCCCCATTTTCCAGAGGGGGGAGGTAGGAATTGAGGCTAAGTAATTTGCCAGTCACCTTCCCTCAGGCAATGTGATCAGTCTAAGACACCACAGTGGACAGGTGTGTGTTAGTGTGGTCCCCACAGCGCCCCCAGAAGCTGAGGCCCAGCTGAGGAGTGCCGATGGTCTCAATGCCTGCCCTCAACCTCAGGTGCTAGGACTCTGGGTCTGGACTACATCTGGAAGGCACCTGCAGCAGAAGCCTCTCTAAGTTGGAGGCCCAGGTAAAGTCTAGAGCAGTGGACCTGGAAGGGTGGTCCATGGGCCAGCAGTATTAGCCTCACCTGAGAACTCAGAAATATAAGTTCTGAGGCCTCGGCCCAAAGCTATCTATCAATCAGAAACTGACAGTGCCAGCAATCCATGTTAGCATAAGCCCTCCAGGTGAAAATGAGGCTCTCAAAGAAAAAGACCTACTCTCAACTGCCCGCCCCCCCCAACACACACCCCCCTGCCAGAAGCCCACACCTGTTACCTGACAGGGGCATCACGCTATCCAGAAGGACTTCTGCTCCCTGGAAAGGCAGGGTCACAAAGTCAGACCTAGAGCAACAAGAAAGGAACACATTGAACATGGCCCTGAAGGCCAACTCCACTCCAGGCTGGTAGTTATCTTCTGTTAGTGCCATGAGCCCAGCAGTCCAGGGTGAAGCAGAGCAGATACTCATGACGGGCAGCAGATACCCATGATGGACTCAGCCCCCATACACCTGAAGGCAGGCTGCCAGTTCTGCCACAAGCCTGACCTCAGAGGGTCTTCTTGCATCAAACTCCTAAAAAAAAAAAACCTGCTTTGCTTTTGCCATATGATACTCAGGGGAATTCTTCTAAGATAGGCCTATCTGGCTTAGTTTGGCTGAGGTGAGCAATGGAGTTTGTTTCTATCAGAATGCTAAAGCAGAGCAGGTAGCAGAAGAATTAACTGCTCTGTGTCCCAGGCTTAGTAGAACTGAGCCAACCAACAGAAACCCATCCCCTCCTAAGCAAGTGTGTGCCTGTGCGAGGAGCCTGGACTCACCGGATTTGCCGGAGCACGTCTACTTTCACTCTCTTATATCCTCCGTAGTCCACATAGCGAATCTCAACTTCATTTGTCTCCTCGTAGGAGGCCACCACTTGGGCTCGCCACCAAGCACCATCCGCACCGGGGGCTGCGCAGATGACTGTTACTGCAGGGCAGGAGAGAGCTGTGGGCAAGCCTGGCCCAGGCCAGGGCACCAAGGGCTGCGCAGTCCAGGCTACCCACCTCCCCACATTCCTTCCCAGAGGCCTGCAACTCCAAGATGCAGGGAACCGGAACGGCAAGGAGTCTCTGAAGCCTCCCCAGAGCCTAAGACTGGCCAACAGAAGCACCTGGATGTGGGTCATTCAGCCTAGCATGGGTGCCATCCAAACATCATCCAGACCAAAAGCATTCACCTACATTCATGTGCTCTGAAACTTAACTGGAGCCTCAGACGGACACAGATGAACCGGAATAAAAAGTAAAATACAGCCTAGCCGGTGTGGCTCAGTAACTGAGTGTCAACCTATGAACCAGGAGGTCACAGTTCAATTCCCGGTCAGGGCATATGCCCCAGTTGTGGGCTCAATCCCCAGTGTGTGAAGTGCAGAAGGCAGCTGATCAATAATTCTCTCTCATCATTGATGTTTCTCTCTCTGTCTCTCTCCCCCTTCCTCTCTGAAATCAATAGAAATATATTTTAAGAAACACAAAACAAAAAGCTCCACTCCACACCATGGCTCCGTCAGCCAGTACAAAGAGCAGCTTGTGCTAGCCAGGCAACTCAGCCCAGAGTACTCCATGCCAACGGCAAGAAGTCAGGAATGCTGGTCCATGAAGGGTCCCAGGAGCAGAACAGGCCACCCCCAAACCTCTTCCCTGGCCTGGCTCCTGCCGACCTGCGCGGCAGCACTTACTTTCCACCGGGGTGGGCAAGGTGGGGATTCCAGGCTGAGAGTAGCAGAGGTACATTTGCTGGTCCAGGCTGCGCAGTGCATGGAAGGTAGGGTGCGTGTGCTGCTGCACAAACAGGTGCCCCGCGTTGACCTGGTTGACCACGATCACTTCCACAGTGATGCCATCTGGGAGCATGAGCTGTGGAGAGGGGAGGGGTAGCAGGCACTTCAGCAATCCTTCTCTTCTCATGTTTGGGTTAAGCCCTGAGGTCCCAGGACAAGTCTCTGAACTGGCACCTCTTTGAAAAGAACATGGCAACCCAAAGCACATGGCACCCAGCTGGCAGGGATTCGAAGAAAACTACTTGAGCATGCAAAGTGCTTAGACACCACTGTGGCCCTTGTCCTGCCGTACCGTAAGTAACCACTAGAGGCAACCTCACACAGGGCTGGACAGGGAAGCTCCAAGGAGCAGGCTGTGGGGGTCGTGCCGGGCCTCCCACTGACCTGACCAAGGTCTATTGGCCAGAGCTCCCCATCCCCCACCTCCAGCATCTTGAGTCTATAAGACCCCAGGAAGGCCAAAGGGAATGAGGCAGCCATTGAGAGCAAGGTGCCAAGGTGGACAGGCCGTCAGGCCCCTCAGCTAGCTCCTCTGGGCCTGCAGCTGACCCCAGGAGCTTATGGGTTGACAGCATCTTTCTACTCTACCTTTCTGTCAGCAAGGGTCCACCGTCAAAGTCTGCAACAGTCAGAGTCATATTTGCTCTTCTCTGGGCTCCACAGACATCCTCCCAACTCATTTCATGCTGGGATTTGGAATGTAGGGTTGCTCCGTGGCCAGGCCCCACCTTAAAGGCCCTGGAAGAGGCCAAGACTAGTCTCTGAAAGAACTGTCCTTACATCCTCGCTTTCCCGATGCTAAGCTACAGAAACCATCCTGGTGCTGTGGACACAGCAGCACATCTCGTGCATCCTCCATCCAGGTGGCACAAGAGGCTTGGCTGAGAGTCCTGGCCTCCACCCCTCTAGGCCCACTGAGCCACACAGAAAACAAGGGAAGGAAGCCACACCAACCACTCAATTATCTAAAAATAAAGAGTGGGTCTGGGGCCAAGCCTCCTGAGGAAAACACTGATTCAGAAGTGAAGGGTGGGGTGAGGTTCAGCCCACTCCCAAATATCCACGGGAAAGGAAAAGGGCAGCATCCCTTCCCCCAAGGCACAAGGGTCTCTGGGGGGTGGCGGGGGGGCAAGATACAGAACCAAAAAGCCCAATGTCCTAAACAAAAGCCAGGCAGGCAATTTTCTTGAGGCAGCATGTTCAGCCGCGCGCATCATAATGACGTGCTGGTCAGTGAGAGACTGTATATACAATGCTGGTGTCTCGCACAGCCCAGGTGTAGTAGGCTGTACCATCTAGGTTTGTGTGGTTACAACTCTTGTGTTCACGCCAACAACAAAATCGTCTAACACACCTTTCTCGGATGAATCCCTGTCACTAGATGGCACATGACTGTGGTCTCAGTAAGATGAGGCCCAAATAGCGGGGAGGTACACTGTAGGACATGAGTGACAAGCCCCAGAGACTCTGCAATTGCCCAGGACACAGGGACCCCTGAGATGTCAGCTCCTTCTCTTGCCCAACTCTCAGGGCAACCTCCGAAGAGCCACATGGCTTCCTGGGCCTGGCGGGGGTTACTGCTTCTCCTTTATACTCTAGGTACCTCCTGGGAAGCGGGATGGGGAAGGGAATCCTTCATCAGGGCCACCACTAGATTTGCCTTAACTAAGGGAAAGCCCATTTGAGCCCCCAGCAGGGGCCTCATCCAGACACTGCTCCAGCTTCAAGGAGTTCCACACCAGCCTGGACCCGCCTAATCTCCTGGGTGGACTACAGTCCTTTCTAGGCAAATGCCTTGAACATATAGGGTGCCCAGGTGGCAGAGCCAGGGGAGAGTGGTCCTTCCAATCAGGGACTAAGAGGCACTCCAGCTCCTGAGCCTTCCCCAGAGGACACAGGCTAGAAGCTGAACTGACCAATGAAGGCTAGAAGCGAGAGGGCAGAGGCATCAATGAGCTCTTGGCCATGGTCTTGGGAGTTTCTTGTTGGGGGAAAGGGATGCAAGAAGTCCTGGTCCCCCAGGAACATGCTCACCCAGGAAGTCATTGGAAGAGAAGGCAGTGCCAGTGAAGGCAGTGGGGGAGCGTAGATATTGGTGAGGTTCAGTTCCTTGAACTTCTTCCCAATCAAGTTCAGTGCCTTGTCTACATGATGCTGAGAACCTAAGAGAAGGAGGAAGGAGTCGTCACAGCAGGTAAGACAAACAGAACAAAACCACACCCCATTCCACAGGACTTCTAGAGTTCAAGTGCGCCTTTAAGGTGTTAAATTTTGCCTTAGAAAGAAAGGCATCTAAAGGGGCTTGAAACCCACTGACCTTCTATATGGCAGATCTGGACATTCTGGGTGTAAGGCAGGGCGGAGATGTAGATCTTGGCACCAGATGTTTGCTTCAGAAAACTCACATACCGCCCCTGCTTGCCAATTAGCCGACCAACTAAGTGCTGAGAAAAAGAGTTAGTTAATGGGAAACCAATTCTTCCAAAACCACTCCCAAAGACCTACCTTTGTTTTTCACAAGGTCAAACTCAAACATATTATCATCTGTTAACATGTCAGCACTCCTTTCCTTGGCACTATTCTAAGCACTTGCATTTACTCACAATACCTATGAAATGGATACCTTTTTAATCTCCATTTTACAGATGAGGAAAACAAGCCCAGAGAGGCTAAGTAACTCACCCAACATCACACAGCTACTAAGCAGCTGCACTGCAAGTCTGGCTCCAGGACTCAGCAGTTCCCATTTCATCCCCGACAATGTGGTCTGAATCCAGAAAGCTGCAAAGGCAGCATTTTCTTCTCCCAGATCCAGATTATGAGATGTTTCAGCACAAGGGTGGATTTACAACTCTTCTACCTCCTCAAGTCTACTCAGGACCAAAGATAGAGTCTCGATTTGAAAATAAAGGTCTAAGAAAGAACCTTTGGGCTCCTGCTGCCAATTAACAGCAGGCTGGCGCCTTCAGAGCCCGTAGCTCACAGAATGCCCAGCACACCAGACTTCAAGGCAGAAAGCAGGAGCCAAACTTAGCCATGACATAAGAAGCTCTGAATCACTCCCAAACGACCCCACCCCCATGGAGCTCCTAGGGGCCTTGTCCCTCAGCGCCCAGAGCTGCTCGGGTATGCCCTTTGCAGCCAATAAAGGAGAAGAGGGCATGTTGGTTATCAGGATCACTGGGGGAGCAAACAACTGAGAGAGCCAGTACCATGAGCCCGAGCTGCCTGCCTGACCCTGAGTTCAAAGCCAGCGAAGTCTTCACACGGCAGGAAGCTAAATGTCCCCGGAGAATGAAGTGGGCCAATTATTTCTGAGCCCCAGAGATAAACATCAAGACCAAGCTAATAAGTTATAAGTCAGAATAGCAAGAAGCTAGAAACTACTTAAGCACCCCGGAATTGGGGAGCAGTGAAGTAAATTGACATTCACACAATGAATAATGCAGTTAAAATTACATTTTCAAAGAGAAGCACAGGAAAATTAAATTGTTAAATATTTAAAAGCATTAATTAAAGCAACATAATCTCAGTTGTGTTTAAAAACCACAGGGTACATACAAGACGAGAAGGAAATAAGCCTTCCCAGTCACTCTCGGGGGTAGGATTAGAGCTGATTTTTATTTTCTTTATACATTTCTATACTTCTCAAGTTTTCTAAAATATGGATTTATGCTGTGCTCAATTATAAAATACTTTGCATTGGAGAGCTTGGGCAGAGCACAGTGAGGGACTCCTTGCTGGCCCATGTCCTCTATCTGGTTTTGCTAGCATCTCCAAGCAGATCGGAGGCCCGGGACACACACAAAAAAACAGAGGCCTGGAGTTAGAAGAGGACAAGAATAGGACACTCCCAAGGCAGCTGGAGAAATTCCATTTTGCAGGAAGTTCTTTGAACCTTGGCAAAGTAGAGCATTCCCTTTCCCCTCAGCCTTGGGCTCACGAGGGAGCAGCCACTCCAGGTTGACTGTCCCTCCCCTAAACCCCACCCCCAAGCCCAATGAACCTGGGCCCAGGGGAACTTTTAGCTTGCAGCCCTTACCTTTGGCACCTCAATCTCCCAGATGATGAGGTCGACCTTCTTAGGATTGGAGCCTCCCTGGGCATTCTGGAAACCGTCAGTTTTCCTGAGCCCACAGCAGCCGTCCACTGAATCCATGCTGTTCCCGTCCGAGCCTGCAGGGGAGGAAGCAGCATGCACAGACACCCAGACACCAGCTCAGAGCAATTAATAACGCACAACTCCCAAACTCACATTCCTGGGAGGCCCGAGGCCCCCACCCCCCGCCCCCTCCTCAAGCTTGGCAGGTGACTGTCAACTGGAAGTCTAGAAGGTTCAGAACAACCCCAATGAAAGGAGGGCTGGGGGTGTAGATATACCTAATTTTAGCTTGTCATTTACAGTCCAACTTACTTAATTGGCAGCCACACCCAGCCACAGCTGCTGGAGCAGACAAGTGGTGAACTGGGAAGAAAGAACTGGCCCAGGAAAGGGGAGTCCTGAGTGTGGGGGAGGGGAGGGGCCAACAGGTTCACATGCTCCCAGGAGCCAGATATTAGATGCAGGTCTCCCCTGAGACCAACTGGTCACAGCCAGTCCACACCCTCTGACAATGCCAGCCCCTCAGACCAAGAGTCCCTAGGTCCCAAGGCCCCTGGCCTAGGCTCACAGTCAGTGGCCTTCAGCCAAGTAGAGCTAGAAAAAGTCCCCTGTCGCTGGTACGTCCGAGGACCCCATTCTTATTCCCGATCAGGTCCCTGCCAAAAGTGGACACAGGAATGAGACCCTCCTTTTCCCCTGCTTAGGCCCGACTTGTGCAACTCTGAATGCTCTTCTGAGCTCATGGCGTGTCTCTAATGCCCTGGTCCAAAGACTGAGCTAAAGCTCACTCCCAAGAGGACAGGGTGGGCAGCAGGAGCCTAGCATTGACTTGGGCTGCTCCACTCTTGACCAAGAGTGTACCAAGGGGACCATCAAAGAAAAACAGAGGGCCAAACCCACTTAAGTGGCTCTCATTTAAATATGGACAACTCGATTGCCAGAAATAGAGGACTCCTGAGATTCTACTAATTAGGTTATCTTGCACTGGTTTCTCCAGACCCTGGGCATAATCCCATGTACTATCTGGATGCAAAGGAGTAAAGCTTAGGAGATTCACTCCCAGCTAAATCACCATCAAAGTGACCTCATCCCTTAACATCACCTGTTGCGGGAGGTGATGGGCCAACAGGTCCACATGGTCCCTGGAGCCAGATATTAGATGCAGGCATCCCCCAAGAACAACTGGTCACAGTCAGTCCATACCCTTCTAATAATGCCAGCCCCAGCCTCTATCCGACAGAGCAGGACTGGATGGTACCTTCCACCCCGATGACACTCAGAGGTGGCTCGGACCACGCCAGGACTCTAGCAGGCTTCACTCAAAGGCCATCTTCCAGCTTTCTCACACACAAGGCAGAGCTACCATGAGAATGGAGGTGGGTCGGTAAGACACAGCCTGGTACTTGGCACAACTGAGTGCTCAGTGATTGGCACTACCAGGCTTCTATCTACCGTCCCCAACGTCCCCGCACATCACCATGCTCAGTCACAGCCTCCTCTTCCGCGAGGCCTAAACTTGGAAGCCTTCTGCATAGCTACTATCAATCTAGAATTGGCAATGACAAGGCCAGAGGGCTTGTTAATTAACCTGAGGGGCAAGAGGCAAAGGGAAACCCCTTTATTCTTAAGATTTTTCACCCATTTTAAAATGCCTTAAAAAAAAAAACACACAACTTTTAACATCCTTAAAGTTAGAGTGCATCTTACAGTCTCTGGCCTACTATATTCATGATAGGCAGCATTTTTTTTTCTTCCCAAGGTACACAAAAAACAGTAGTGTCATAATCAATAGCACCTTAGAGGTGGTAAAATGTAATGTGTGGTACACACCAGCAGCTGCTCAAAGTACCGAATTCCCAAGAAAGAGTCCCAACCTGCCTCAAGGTGAAATGATAGGAAAAGGTCCCAGGGCAAGCCAGTCAGAGACCCGGAGGGGAATGCCTCTTCCCAAGAGATCAATGAAAATGCCCCAGGGGAGCTGCAAAAACAGGGTCAGGAGCTGCTGACCTGGAAGTTAGCGGTCTGAACTGTCTACGCTGGGGTCAGCACTTGAAAAACCCAGTGGGCACTTCGTTACCCAAGTGCCCTTCTTTCCCGGGGGTGGACCTGCAGCTGCACAGAAAGAAAATGGCTGAGGCGCTCTGCAAAGGGGACAGCAACACGCAGCAGAGCGCGAGCCTCCCACAAGTACGCAAAGCTGGGGCCAGTCTCTGGGCACTTACCAGGAAAGAGCTTCTGGAGAAGGAAAGCAGGTGAAGACATGGGAACAAGCACATGGTTAAAAGGAAATAAACCATTAAAAAAAAACCTCACACCTACTCTCGGTACTCAAGAGAATTAAAGCTAAGGAGGCCTCTCTCCATTAAAAAAAAAAAAATTAACAGGTTAGGGTTTAAAAGAGAAAAAGAGGCACAATTAGGTTAATCGGTGAACCCAACCCAACTTTGATCTGATTTTGTCAGATGGGCTAGGGAGGGTCACTGGCTGCCAAAACAAGTTACAACTCCCATGGCTTTGGGTTTAAGGCAGCCTAAATTTTCAGTTACCCACCAGCTCTCCGCTGTGCCCTGACTTTCTGCACGCCGATTGGGACACAGAAGTAGCAGAGAGAGAGGCAGCCTTTCCTACTACATAAAGGGAGACCCGCGTCCTCTGAGTGAGGAACGCCAAGACCCTCCTACCTCCCGAATGATCTGCTTCCGCATCCATGGTCCATCCATCCTCAGTCCCCAAGTCTGACAACTCCTCCTTCAGCACCCCATTGCTGAAGGGCACAGTACTTTGTGGCAGTGGTGAGGTGGTAGCATTGTCCCTAGGGCTTGAGTTGATCTCTGTACAAGAGTCTTCGAGCCCTGAAGTGCTGACGGAATCTGAGCACTGCCCGGAGGAGGATTCTGAAGGGACACCCTGGCTATTGTCAGACATGCAGGTGACACAGCCAGCATCTTCCACCAGGACGCTTGTGTTGTCCAGCGACTCTCTGAGGGGGGCGGCTGGTGGTGGGCAGGGGGCCAGGGCGATGTGGTGCACAGAGTTCTTTGGCTTTGTGTCCTTGGTGGGGCTGGACAGAGGGCTGGTCAGGCAGCTCACATAGGTCTTTGGTGGTGGTAGCAGGTCCTCTGCTGGCAGGCCTGGCAAGGGGAGGGCAGCATTCGACGGGCCCAAGGCTGACTTCGACGGGTCCAAAGCTGACTCCAATGGGTCCAAGACTGCCTTCGCTGTGGCTGCCTCCACTGTGGCCTGAGTGGGCTCCAAGGCATCTTGCCTGAGGGCAGTGTTCTGGCAGATTGGGGCACATCTCTCCTCCTTCTGCCCTTGGAGCTGACCGGCTGAGGCCTGATACATGCAACCTGCCATCTTGCCCACAGTGGTGGCCAGCACTTCTTCAGTTGCATCCAATATCACTTTGGAGATGATCTGGTAGGCAGCCTGCTCAATCTCCTCATTTTTATCCAAGGACTCCTCTTTGCTCAATTTTCCATCCCAGGCTCGGCCTCCTTGGACACAGGGTGCCACTGTTTCATCATCCTTGGCCTGCTCCACATGAGCCAATTCATTAAAGCTAGTCATCAACTTCCCTGCTGTGCCCCCCTCCACCTGAGGTGGGCTGCTCTTCCTTTCCTCTCCCCCTCCTCCCAAGGGAGTCATGCTGGGCGCCTTGATGCTCTGTAATGCAGAGCCATGCTCCAGGGACAACACACCTTCTTCTAGCCCACTTTCTCCCAACACTGCGTCGCCAGTGCCTTCAGCCCCCATCTCTCTCGCCTTCTCCCCAGGGCCATGCTTCTCTGTGGGAGCTGCAGACTGGCCTTGCTGGCCCCACCCTGCCTCGTGCCTGCACACCTCAGTGGCTTCGTGGGGGAACCGAATAGCCTTTGGGGATGGAAGGGCACACTCTAGAGGAACAGGCTTGGCTTCATCACCCATCTGGGCTGGTTCCACCCTTGCACTATCATCTCTGCATGTTCCTGGTCGAACTCTCGTGTCTGTGGTGTTAGACAGGCTGCCTGAGGACTCTGATCTACGACAGGCTGGATGTGACCGCAGCAAGGCCGGGGGTTCTGTGGGGGGTTTATACACAGTGGCCAGCTCCTCTTCTGCTGGTTGTGTGACACTGGGGGGTGTGGACACTACTGCACGACAGGCATTTTCCACAGGGGCCAGTTCCTCGATGGCAGGGCCGGCCCTCAGCTCCACAGCACTAGCCTCCACCTGTTTGTCATGGCTGCTGACGTGCTCTTTTTTACGAGAGAAAAACCACCACCAGCCAAGGAGTGCTAGCATTCCAGGCAATGCCAAAGGGAAAAGCGAACGGAATTGAATGGCCATCCTGGAGGCTTGTAGTAGTTACACCTGGGAACAGAACGAGAAAGAGATGCCATGAGAGCCTGGTAAGAGGTTCCTGATGTGACTGCACAGGAAAGACAACAGACAGGGGACAGCAGAGCTGTTGGCTCTCCCTTTCCCTGCCCTTGAAGGGATCACCATCCCTTCACACCATGACTCTGGGTGAGCCATTGGAGGTGGGTGAGCAAGAAGAGACACCCCCTTCTGCTCCCTCATCCACACACACTCCCTTGAAACAAGCTAAGCCTTCTCTTGAATAAGTCCCTTCCTTCATCACTTCTAAATGCCAAATTCTCCCTATGTTTCCCCAAGGAGCTAGTTATGTTTAGTGTTTTAGTTCACTAAACTCCCAGATATCTTATCTATTTAGATGGCATAGGAGCATTTCTCAACAGCCATGGAATCCACATGTATATATCTCCCTCACATAACCATGAGTCAATGAAACATTAGTTATATAGCAGAGACAGCCAGAACAAAGGATGAATAAGAGCTCAAAAAGGATAAGGAGATGCTCCAGGGAAAGGGACCAGCAAATACACACAGTGGCATAGAGACACAGGTCGTGCTTGGAGAATCAAGTCCTGGGACTTTACTGCAGGGTCTTGACTTCATCCTGTAGAACCAGCATAGGTGTAAAAGGCAGACATAACAAACTGTGTTTGCAGGTGATTGGGGAGCGGGAGAAACAGTATATGGAACAAAAGGAACATGGAGACCTAGGTCAGTTAGAGCCAGGAAAGGAGAAATGATCATGGCCTAGAAGAAGGCAGCAGAAGATGACAGGTATGAGGATTAGTTTAGAGGTATAGTAAGTGCTTTGCAGAGCAGGGTGAGCTCTCATTAGAGGTATGTAACAGACTTATTGAGAACGCTTGAATTCAGTGCCTACTATGCCAACAAATTTTATTCTGTATGGAAAAATTGTAAGTCTTCTTAAAACCTCCAATCCTTCATTGATATGGTGAATTGCACCTTAATTTGGATTTGTGCTTAATTGTAAATGCTTTACCAACTCTTAGTGGTTGTATCTACTTATCTAAATGTTTTCTGGCAAAAGCAGAGCATACAGCTCCCCGAGTGAGCCTGATGATCAGCAGAGGTGGGAAACACTGTTCCAGGACTTTGCATCTCAGAGCACAGTCTGTGGACCGGAAGCATAGAGCATAACCAGGGAACCTGCTTATAGTATCTCAGTCCCTCTCCAGACCTGCTGTACTGCAAGCTGCATAACAAGCCTCCAAGAAGATTTACAAGCACGTGTGTGAAGGTGCTAGGAAAAGTGCTTCTCTAAATGACAGGGGTGGGCAGGTCACCTCCAGAAAGTCCCTCATCTTTAACGATAAACCTTCCTGCTAATATCTGAAGATGAAGCAATGAGACTGGAAAATACAAAGCAAACCTAAGCAGCAGCCCGGGCTCAGAAGGCTCTGTATTATACCCTCCAGGTGGAAAGCTTCAATAATGCTAACAGCTTAAGATTCAAATGAGAAACCTCACTAGATACTTCTCTTGCATCACCTAATCTTCAACCACCTGGTTTGGAATATGTTACCATCTTAAAGATTTAAAGAACTCAAGGTTATACAGTTAAGGGAATGGAACTCAGGTTCTACTCCACATTAAATCCAGGATCCACTAATTAATGGATCTGTGGGGATAAGACATTTTATGGGCCAAGAAAAGGGGAAGTTTGTACTGCTCTTAAAATTTTATGACCATATCCTATGACCCCCAAATTCCCATACCTGGAATCTTTTCTTAAAAAAAAAAATTAAAAATAACTCTGCATAGGCAGAAGTCTATATATAAGAATATTCACCGGAGTATCATTTGAAACAAAACTCATAGAAAAAAATGCTAAATATATTGTAGAATCTGGGGACAAATCATTGTTAGAGAAGGAAGCTGACTTTAGGTACTGACTTGGAAAAACTGCTGTGATGCCAAAAATAAAAGCTGTAGACCACCATGTGCGCATGAGGTCTGTGTCCATATAATCATCCCATGAAAAAAACTGGGATCCTATTGAAAATGGATAGTCTTCCTTCTTTTTGGGAAGAGAGTTTTTTTATAATTTCTTTCTCAGTGGTTCTCCAATTTGGCTGCCCATTAGCACCACTTGGGATGCTTTTAAAATCCCAAGATGGCACCCAAATCAATTAAATCAGAATCTCTGAGGGAAAGATGCAGGCACCAACTTTGTTAACTGAGGTGACTCCAATGTGCAGTCAAGTTGGAAAGTCACTGTTTTGTAACAACTTGCACACACCCAAAAAAGTGTTAGGTTATGGGATATTTGCTTTGTGTCCAACATCGTTCATATAAAAATAAATAACATTTGAGAAGGAAAAGAGGCTATGGGGGAAGGATGCTCTCAGGAAAAAGTAGTATACAGGAGACATAGCCTATTGTCAGGAGATTAAGTCGCACCCAACAGGTCACATGCAACAGGAAGTGGGGCTGGGGTCTGAACTCAGATGTTCTTCTTGTCAGTAAATTTAAATATCTGATTCCTTATTAACTAGACAATCCTATTTCAGCAGGGTGTATAGTTATGAGTCCCATAGTATTCTAGCAATTCTCTGATCTCAAGAAAAAGATTAAATGGAAAGGGGTAGACAAGACATAGGATTCTTTTTCTTCCTAACAACCCATAGGTGGCAGTCTTCCATTTTACACAGGAAGGGCCCAAGGCCATAAACTCAAATGGGAGGCGGGGGTCTAAGTGGGGGGGGGGGGGGGGGGATAGTTGTTATCCAAGACATAAACTGCCTCTTAAAACACTGGGATACCCCCCACACACACACATTGGAACTAAAAGTTGAACCAAGGGGTCCAGCAGTTGATCCCACTCCACCACTGGAGATTGAAGAAACTGGCTGTAAGGCATACATACATTACAGCCTGGCTTTGGTCCTGAATCCCAGGAGATCCATACCGCATCCCAGACCCTGTCCTGCCATGTCACTGACTTCCCCCAACTTCACATGTTCTGCTCCAAGTCCTAGTTCACGCTCAACACAGAACCAGCGGCCTGGGGCCACTATACATACTTCCTGCCTGCTGCTCTGTAGCTCACAGAGGCACCGCTACCACTCACCCACCTAATCCTCCCTGCCCAGCTTGTTTCCAGAGACTGAGGCTCTAAGCCCCCAGACCTACCATCTACAGCCCCCCTGCAAACAGGCAGCTGTAGCTACTCTGCTAATTACAGCTTAGGAAACTTTCTATACCATTTCCAAGCCAGACACCCCTGTTGTTGTGCCAGGAGGGCCTCCTAGAAAGCATTTAATACCGCTACCCTAGTGCCATGTTACCCAACCCACAGATTTCTGACGAGGTCCTACCTGGGTCCCCAGTGCCCACCATTCACATGCTGGACTAGAGCTGAGAGACCTTCCCTCTGCTGAGGAACCAGAAGCCAGTGGCCACTATTCTTCCAGGCAAAGCCCTCCTCTCCATGACTGCCTCTAGGGACAGAAACTGCCCTGGAGTGGAACTGAAGTGCTCCGGGCACTTGAGATAAGAGGTAAGAGATCCAAGAGGGGATGAAATGGTTTATTTTTCCCTTGCCACCAGGGGATGGTGGTTACATATGAACTTCTCCACCAAACACAGAGCCAAGAGCCCCTGGAATAAGCAGCCCATACCACCCAAAGGTGATGTGAGAGCCTAGCTGGGTTTCACTGAAGGCATCTCACAGGGAGCTCCTGCTGACTGAAGCCCCACTTCCTGCCCATCAAATAAAGTCCCTCACTTCCTTAGCCCTCAGTTCCTAGAGTCCTACACTAGCCAATCTCACCTCACTCAGACTGACTTCTGTGAAATGGTAAGGTGCCATTTTCCCTGATTTATGTGAACACAGAGCCCTGGACTTGTGGCGCAGGATGTACCAACCTTTCCTGAATTCTCAGACAGAGCTGCCCCATGTGCATGCACACGTTTCAGCCTAACAAGGCTCTCTGGTACCTTCCTCCCCAAACAGACTCTTGAGTTGCTCTCTCTGCCCTCTCTCTTTTTTAAACGTGTACCTCTCAAAGATGTAAGTGGCATTTAATAGTGAGGATCTAAAAGCCTTCACACTCGCAAGTAAACTGAATGAAGGTGGCTGCTTCCCTCCCCCACTCCAGAGGCCCAGGCCTCTCAGGCAGGATTGCCCCTGCCACCCCCCACCCCCACCCCCATCAGGGAAAAGGATGCAGAGCCCGGGCTTAGGGTTGGTGGGGAGGAGACTTGGCTAGTTTGAATCTGTTGGAATGAAATAGCTGCCTGCTTATTTTTAGCAGGTCCATTTACCCGTAAATAGATGCACGCTGGCTAGCTGCCCAGTGGTCACACAGAGCTGAGGACAGGCACGTGTGTCACAGCCCCATAAGACCTTCGTGCCCACCTACTCACTCCAGGTTCTGAAAGGATTCCTTCTTTCTCCCAGAGGAACCTGCAGCTTCTCAGAACAGCTTACCTCTGGAGAAGTAATTGCTTCACTCCCAACCCCGAAGACCAGCTGGGGCATTGCAATCTAGGGCCTTCTGCTAAACAAGAAAACAAATCTCTGGGAATGGTACAAAGAGTGTTGGTCCCAGTGAGTCAGCCTATTTGTCTGCAGTTATTGTGGAAAAAGAGCTGCATGTAATTAATCAACGGGAAAGTCCATCACAAAAATAAGAGCCTAGGTGCCAAGAGTCTCCTAAGTCCAGTCTGGGCTTGGACCTGGTCAGTGAAGTTACATCCACTCTGTGTTCTGAATGGACTTTTACACAGGGGTGGGCAAAGGCAGGCTTACATGGAAAATAATACAATAATAAACAAGTAATAATACAAGAATAAGCTCTGTGTTTTGCATACTCACAAGTGTAAACCTACTTTTGTCAACCCTGTCTGGTTGAAATTTGAACATTTCTTCCATTATTCCAGGGTTATGTGTTCACCAACAGAAGGAAGCTCAAGACACTCCATCTCCTGAGAACTTCTTGCCAAGGGGGGTAGGCGCTTTTCCCCTGGAAGGGGGTCTTCTAAGGACAGGGAATGATCCAGAACCTAAAGCCTAGCACTTGCTGCCACTGCACTGGGAGAATAACACCAGGCTGTGGACCAGGCCAAGGCTCCTCCATCCCTCCCCTAACCTTAATACCATGCCTCACTTGCAACCCTCGAGTTTGCTGGAGAAAGACAAGAGTGCCTTTTGGGTTGCATTAACCCAATTTCTCATCAGGTTGAGGATATGAACATACATTCAAATGTGTTTAAATTTCAGCAAGAAAAAGCTTCTGTCCACCAGAAGCTCACAATCCAGATGGAAGAGCCAGTGTCTCGCTCACACATACACACATATCAGCTGAGCCCGGTTTCAGAAACAGGCAAAGAGGACCCAAGGAAGGTTGTCTCAAAGGCCAGAATTCCCTTAGGTTGCAATGGTAGGTTAATGACATCAATTAAGGTTCTAAACCCAATGTATCTTTGGGAGTGAGAGCAGAACAAGTCCTGGGAGCAGAGGCTGAAGAGCTGGCCAGGGGCCAGACAAAGGGAGTCTGACCTTTACTGTCAACGCAATGGGCAGTTGCGACATGGCCAAAGCAGAGCAGGTCACAAGAGGCAAAGGCCTGGCTAATCCCCAAGTGGCAACTGAAGTCCAATATTGGCAGCCACTTAGTCACAGGGAGCTACTGAGCACTTGAAATGTGACCAGTGTGACTGAGGAACTGAATTTTAAATTATATTTAGTGTCAATTTACTTTAAATAGCTATATACGACTGGTGCTACCTAGTGGACAGCACAGTGCTAGAGGATGTTCCCAGAAGACCTGAAGGAAACACAAGAGCTGCATAAATGCTGAGAAAGCTAGTGCCTACCTTGCTGGGCAATGTTTGGTCCTGCCGCTGAGGGTGGGGAACGATGGCAAGCTGGGTCACTCACCCTCAGCAGCATGGCTGGGGGCCCAGGAATCAGAGTGCTGGAGCCATGCCTCACTTGTGTTGGTCTCAGCCCAGTCTCGGTGTTCACAGGGTTGTTACCTTCATCCTTAGGGTGCGTGAGTGAGCTGTGATTCATGTTGGCCCTAAAGATTCCAAATTAGCTCACAGTGGGGCTGTGAGGTCCTCCTGCCCAGGGCTGTTCCCCACACCCTTCATTGTGATGGCCCCACAGAGCAGCCCGGTCAGCCACCCTCCTGGTTCTGGATCACAGAACACTCCACAGCCTGTTCTCCAAGAGACTGGAGGCTCCACACAACAATGTCTGGATGGGCAGGCCTACTCAATAAAGCCTTTTCCAACCAAAATGGGAACCAGAGCCTGGTACCAAGAATTCCAAGTAAGTAGAGTCAAAAGTGAAAAATCCCATCTCTGAACATAGTCTCCAATTAAGAGCTCTTCCTCCTCCAGTTCAATTAAAAATTAAACTCCCAGTTTGGAAAAGTTGGTTAAAGAGGAAAACACAAGTGTGAACTACCCAGCCTCCCTCCTTCTCTGCTGACCACTCATGGCAGGTCCAGTCTCATTAGGCTTCAAATGATAAAGGGGGAAAAATCGGCACCTCCTACAAAGGTCTTTCCATTACTTCATTTGGGGGCAAGGGAAATGGTTTAAGATTTTTTTACTATGATGATAAAGCAGGTGCCACCAGTGTTCCTGGGTACACAGAGTTCCTGCCCATGACCACAGAGCACTACACAAGACTACCCAAAAGGTATGACATTCTGATCAGACAATAAGCTTATCTAAAAGCTAATAAAGATGACATGTGACTTCAAAAGGAATCAGAAAAGATGGTGTGAGTCAAAAACCTTTCATAGCACCATCTCAGGGGACAAAGCAAAGAGGTAGACACTGCTTTTACACATGGCAAACAGTGCCCTATAACCAACTCCGAGATCACATAAAGGCATAAGGAATTTCTATTCACCAAATATGTATTGGTACCTACAGGGTACAAAGCACAGTGGGACACAGAAATGAGTCAAACAAACACACTACTTTCGAGGCACTTACAAGTCCTTTTGGGGCAGAAAATACCAAAGACTTCTCCTCTGGTAGACCTATTACTGCCACTGACCAACTGACAAGTTTGGTCCAAGAGTCAGGCAAGTGTCCTGGCCAGGGTGGGGAACAAACATGAACCAGGCTGCCAGTTTCTCCAGATTAGGATGTTCTAATAATGCCCTGGGGTGGGAGATGGGAGGGTAGCAGCTCAAATGGAAGGCAAGGGAGATTTGGTTGGCCCATTCAATATGCAGACTTTCATTCAATACCCATTTTCACCACTACCTGATGCCCAAATCCACATCCCTTCTCATTTAAACTACTCCATAAAATAAAGCCAGATCTACTGGCATGCCAGAAGGGTTATGAGGGCCTAGTTGTCCTTGCCAACTTTCTAGCAACCCTCCTGTCTCTGGCCACACCTCAACCCAAGCCTACAAAGGGGCTTGTCCTTGTGTATGAACCAGCACACTTTCTCAGCAAGCTACTAGAAGACAGGCTCCACAAAAACAAGGGAGTAAATCAAGAAAAGCTAATAAAGATGACACGTAACTTCAAAAGGAATCAGAAAAGGGAGGGGTAGGCACAGATCCAGGAAGCAACACAAGAGAAAGGGAGAAGGAATTTCCAGGATGAAGGGGAAGCAGAGCCAGGGACAGGTACATTCCAGGAGCAATATGGAACGCTAGTACCTGGTATGTTTAAGCAAATGAGAGGAGCTTGATAGCAATGGCTAAGGCTCAGGGAAGAGTCAGAGAACTAATGCGAGAGACACAGAAAACAAAGCTAAACAAAGTAAGTTAGGAGAGGAGAGGGAAGAGGATGGCAAGAAAGGAAATATGGAAAACTAAGAACTTTTCAGCTACTGTATAAGCAGTATTTATATCATAACAATGCATACTACCTCTATACTGAGGATGAGGGAAGAAAAAATGTAGGAATGAGCCAAATCCTTACCTTTCAGAGTAGAAAAGCAAATCAGATAAATAAAAAGGAAGAAAAGATGGAAAGGAAGGGAGAAGTATACTATTTAGAAATACAGAGATAGGGAGGACAACTAGATGAAAGCAGCTGCCTCTAGAAGAGAACAGGACAGGAGGGAGAGCACTCAGGGCAAATGGCTGTTCTTTCAACCTGTGCATAGTCAAAAGTCAAAACTTCCTACCAGCAATATTTTCATAGAAAATTAATATATTCTTAAGTATTAAGTAGCAATGGATGTTCTATTACCATACAGCTTTTATGTTTCTTTAACCATCATAATAAATATGTATGTCATCTCATCTATGTATAAATTTATGCTTTATTTCCCATAATAACTGATGCTAATTTTGCTTCAGAGACACCCTCCCCCCCACAACTGCCCTGCTGACAACAGTAATAATCACAAAGAGAATATGCTTATTAATAGACCCTTCGGAGCGAGGCATCTGGTTCCCACACCACTGAGGCCTAGCCAGCATCAGGTAACAGGACCCCTTGGGCCTAGTCATTTCATAAAGATCTGTATACCCAATGTGAGCCAGGTTCTGTTGAAGATGCTAGAGCCCTCAGGAAGCAAAGGTGGAGGGAGGAGTAGGTAGGGAGTCACATTTCAGATCGCAAGATACTACAAAGATGCAGCAAGCAAATGTAATAAACCTGCAGCCTCTCAACCGCTTCTGAGAACTGAGCCCTAGGCATCCTTTGTACATGATGAATTAACTATACCCCTGGGCATCTAGTACTGTACTAGTTGGGAGAGTTGAGAAACAGTCACTCGGCCATCTTCCGTGTTCTGCGGTTTAGACGAGGAACCAAGGTGGAGAAAAGCTGGATAAACTGCATGTGGGAGAGGGGAAGCTTTAGACAGAACAGTCAGGGAATGCCCCTCCAAAGAGGTGGCAGCAGAGCTGGAACAGTAAGCGGCAGCCATGCCAAGGTCTGGGAGGACAGGGAAAGGAGAGGGGAAGAAAGTTCCAGGCAGGGAGAACACGTGCCAAAGTCCTAAAGCAGGAACAAGCTTGGCTGACTCAAGAGGCAGCAAGAAAGGGAGGTGAAGATGAGGTTGGAGGGCTGCTGCCAGAGAAACTGCTCCCCAGCCTCACTGGGCAGGCGCAGTGCTGAAGGTCAAGAACCCAGAGGAACAGGTTCACCAAACTTCCTCCGGAGAGGGAAACCAACTTGCCCCAGCAGCCAAGGGGCTATAGTTTCTAGACTAATAATCAGAGGCTGATTCCAAATCTATGCCAGAAACAGGGTGCCTCTGTGGCTGGTAGCACAGCCGGTGCACACTGTGTGAGTAAACAGGCCCACTTTTTACAGCAAATACATTTGTATGAAGCCTTGGGGTCACACCACTTATTAGCCTGGTGGATGGGAACAGGGACACACACACACACACACTCTCAGCCCCACATAAGTCCTTGCCACTTCTTTGAAATACACTTCGCAAAAACAACCTCGCTCTCCAGCCAACATAAACCATAGGCAACAGAAGGGGCCTTATATGGCTTGAAGCTTTCTTAATCAGAAACAGATAGATGGGCTGGAGTTGGCAGCTCCAAGTTAGAGAAAAGGAGGAGCCAAAAAAACAGGGCGGGGAAAGAAAGGACGGCAGTGTGGAGCAGAACTCATTTGTCAAACTCCTTTTTCATATCTCATCAGCCTCCTTCTAACTGGCTCCCTGTAAGAATTCCTCCTGAGGGACATTTGCCTCCTCTCATGCTCTTATTTTGGTTACACCAGTACTCAAGCTGCCAGCACATCCACAGTTTTACAGAATTTTTTAGTGTCTGTTTGGTGGCCTGCCCTTAAGTTGGGTGACTTCCATGAAAATAGGTTGATTTCCTTAGAAATTGGCTGCTGGGCCACAAGTGGTGTCATTCCCCTGGACAGCAGTCCTGAGTCCCCCCGCTCACTGGGCTGCCTTGGTCACATGCCTGCCTGGCCCAGGAGGCAGGGTTGGGCCCCAGCCACAGATCCAAAATAGAAAAGGCAGCCCCAGGGACCTCTTAAGCCTACCTCTCCCCCACCAGCACCAGCACCAACACCCCATGATAGCTTCTAGGGTGGCTTTATTCTCCTTCCTCCCGATTAGAAAGCAGCAGCACTCAGGACCTGCTCTGTACACTGAAGCCACATGCACTTGGCCCTCCTAAAGGATACCAGCTGCCCAAAATAGCACGACAGCACAGGCTTGGCCAGGTGGGCCTCAGCAAAGTCAGAGGACAAAGCAAGGAGGTTTTTCTCAGCACAGCCTTTTCTCACCAGAGACAGAACGAACTCAAGGTACATCAGACTGCAGGCCTCCTTCCAAGGCAGCTCAGGGCAAGTCCCTCCTGCTCCTTTCTCCTTGGAGGGCAGGAAGAAGGGGCAAGAAGATTTACAGAAGTCTGGACTGGCCTTCAGATCTGCTGTCCAGGGCCAAGGTTGGAGGAGAGGGGGGTGGGAGTGGCAATGGAGAATGGGGCTGAGGGCTGGGCTTGAACAAATCCTGCTGCCTCCTCCAACAGGACCAAACTACTGCCAGGTAACAGCCTGTTGAGGGCCAGGGGATGGTCTCCTGACCTCCATGTGAGGTCTGAGAGGCCACATTATTATTAGCCAGAGAATGATGAGTGACTTCAAGATTGTCTTCTCAACCAGAGCTAAACCAAAGTCTTCAGAGCGTTTTCCAGGCCTTCAGGCATAGCTACTGTCTACAAGGCTTTCTTAGTCACAGTCATCATTTGTGCAGCTCAAAGGCACTGGATGGTTGCATAATTTTGATAAAACATGGCTTTGGAAAGGAAAAGCATTAAAGAGTAGGATCCTGAACATCGGTTTCCTGACAAATGAAAATGTCCTATAAAATGGGATACAAATATCTCCATCACGGGGCTGAAATGACTCAAAACACCTAACAGTCTGACTCAGCCTGTGGAACAAATAATTGTAATCTTTTAAAAATCCAGTTGTTTTCTGGATGAGGCTGGAGGGTTAATGGGGCAGTAAATAAAAAACAGCCTCTAAGCATGGAGCTAGAGATACAGAAT